CGGTTTAAAGTATCCAGCTGGTAAGAAACTTGTATCTTGTGCGGATATTGAACGGTTTAAACAATCCGAGTGGTAAGTTTGTGCGGTTTAGAATCCTCTTGGTAAGTCTTGGACTTTTTGAGCGGTTTATTTCTATAATCGTATATATCTTGGACGGTATTTAATTGAATGATGTTTGACTTTTGATCGGTTTAATTGTTTGATTCTTTGATCGGTTTAATAGTTTGACTTTGTGATCAGTTTAAAACTTAAACTCTTTGAGCGATTTATCTTTGTGCGGTTTATGTCTACTTGTTGCTCGGATTTCTAATCCGGATAACTTGTTGTTTTGTCTATCTTTTTGACCGGACTTGTAAACCGGATAAACTTGATCGGATTACTAATCCGGATAAGTTCTTGCGCTTAATTTTGTCTAAGTGTTGAATGTGTTTATTCTAGTTTACACTTTATTAGATATATTTTGGAAACTGATCTTTTAATTCAAACTTTGAACTGCAGTTGATCCTATTTTCATACAAACTGATAAGATGAGTTCAAAAGAAGCAATGGCTATTGGTACTGATACCAAGCCACCAGTTCTTTTTCGTGGTGACTATAATCAATGGAGAGACAGATTTCTGAACTTCTTTGAAAGGATGAAAGAAGGAGATATGATCATGCAATCTCTATTGGACGGTCCTGCTGAATTCTTTGTAGAAGTACCTGCTGACAATATAGNAGGCTAATCCTAAAGAATCACATCTTAGCGCAGTTAAGAGGATCATACATTATTTAAAGAAGACACCAACTCTGGGACTATGGTACCCTCTGCATTCAAATATTGATCTAGTGGCGTATACGGATTCAGATTATGGTAGATGCCAAATTGATAGAAAGAGCACCTCTGGGAGCTGCCAGTTTCTTGGAGGAAAACTAGTGAGTTGGTCTTCAAAGAAGCAGAATTGTGTGTCAACTTCCACAGTAGAGGCTGAATATGTAGCTGCTGCAAGTTGTTGTTCACAAGCTCTATGGATGCAGACCCAACGACGTGACTACGGCTACTCTGTCAACAAAATCTCCATCCTCTGTGATTCAAAGAGTGCTATTGCAATTTCAGCTAATCCAGTCCAACATTCTAAGACAAAGCATATCGACATAAGGTACCATTTCCTTAAACATCAAGTTGAAGAAGTTAATGTCGAATTATACTTTGTAAAATCAGAATTTCAATTGGCTGACCTCTTTACTAAAGCCCTAGATGAGAAAAGGTTCAATTTCCTTGTAGAGAAAATAGGCATGACATGTCCAGAGTCCTAGTTGATGGTTGTCTTATTCTTTATTCTTTTCTGTATATATCTTTTCCTTTAAATTTTATTTTGTATATAGTTTTTATTTCTTGAATAACCTTTCACTTGATTTTATAGTAAACAGGTTTAACCTCGCAGAGACTTGCAAGGTTTGAGGGGGAGTATGTTCTCTCAAAATAATAAAACCTCTTGAAGAAGAAAAATGTTTTTAATCACATAAGCCTTTTCACAGATCCTTTGTGATCGCTTAGAGGCTCTTTGAATGGATCTTCTATCGATACTTCTTCTTAGGATTTTAAATGGTTTTTTATTCAAGGGGCAGCCATGGAAGTTAAATATAAATATAGTCTTGTATTCGTCTTGAAAATTAAATATAGTCTATAATTGTAAAAGTCAGTGTGTTTGACTTTTCTTATAGGAGTTTGACTTTGTCTTGTGTTAGTAGGTTTGACCATATAAATAGTAGGTTGTCTTTGTAATTAGGAGGAGAGAGCTTACTTGTAAATCATATTATGTAAATGAGAGTTTGACTATACTTTGAATGCATTGACTTTTCCTCTCAACTATCTTATTGTTCTTGAATGCAATATTCAGATCTGCCATTGTTGTGAAGCTTAATGAAGATTGATCAGTGAATTTAGGGACAAACAATTGGTATCAGAGCGGACTGCAGCAGTTTGGGTTGAAGATTTATCTGATTTCCACATTTTCTGCTCGATTTTTTGAAGATTATCGATCTGTTCTTCACTGTTCTTGATATTTTTTTTCGTCCGGATTGATTTTTGATCCCAAATCGTTCATATTTTGAGTGTTAATTGTAAAGATTTGTATTGTTAGATTCGGTTTTTCATTTCAAACAATCTTGATTCACACCATTTTTCGTTTTAAACAAGTTTTGAGGCTGATTTAGTCGAACATCGATTTTTAGTTTTCTGGAAAAATTTCTTCAAAACTCATAATTTTTCATGTTTTGATCCAAATTTTTGGTAAAAAGTGTGAAATTTGTGTTTTTGTTTGAATCTTTGTCCGCTTAAAGCTTGTGCGGTTTAAGATGTTATCCGCTTAATACTTGTGCAATTTAACATCCGTGTGTTTTCAAGCTTTGTTTTGATAGGTTATACCGGACAACACTCGTGAGGATATCTTGTGCGGTTTAACTGATCCGGCTGGTAAACCGTTGATAACTTGTGCGGATTAGTTGGTAAACCGTTGAACCCTTGATCGATTTATTGAGCTGTTTAAAGTATCCGGCAGGTAAGAAACTTGTATCTTGTGCGGATATTGAACGGTTTAAACAATCCGAGTGGTAAGTTTTTGCGGTTTAGAATCCGCTTGGTAAGTCTTGGACTTTTTGAGCGGTTTATTTCTATAATTGTATATATCTTGGACGGTATTCAATTGAACGGTGTTTGACTTTTGATCGGTTTAATTGTTTGATTCTTTGATCGGTTTAATTGTTTGATTCTTTGATCGGTTTAATTGTTTGATTCTTTGATCGGTTTAATAGTTTGACTTTTGATCGGTTTAAATTGTTTGATTCTTTGATCGGTTTAATAGTTTGACTTTTGACCGGTTTAATTGTTTGATTCTTTGATCGGTTTAATAGTTTGACTTTGTGATCGGTTTAAAACTTAGACTCTTTGAGCAATTTATCTTTGTGCGGTTTATGATTACTTGTTGCCCGGATTTCTAATCCGAATAACTTGTTTTTGTCTATCTTTTTGACCGGACTTGTAAACCGGATAAATTTGACCGGATTACTAATCCGGATAAGTGTTTGTGCTTAATTTTGTCTAAGTGTTGAATGTGTGCTTATTCTAGTTCACACTTTATCAGATACTAGTTGTATACCCGCGCAATGCGGCGGGAGTCATAAATGTAAATGATTTGAATAAATAAGAGTTATGGTTTCAATGGTCTCGAGCGCCGATAAATTATATGATAGTTAAAAATCCAATATATTTACATCAACCTAACCTAACCAAACCTAATTATTAATGAATAAAAAAAAATCATTTTACATAATATTTGTATTTGTATCTTGATGTACGAATATGGTAAAAATGATTAAATAATTGACCCAAATATTGGACAAAACCAAACAAATTTAATCATCTACCAACATTAATCAAATGTACAAATTTAGTTTAATTAAATTGATTATCAAATGTAATGTACAATAAACAAATGAATTAGATCAACTCCATCTAAGAAAAGGTTCCCTTGACTACATAAAAGCATTCTTTTGAAGTTTAATCTATTAAAAATAAAACAAGAACACCCTAAAAATTTATGCAAGGATCATTTATCTTCAGCAAACACCCAACAAATCATCCCTCTCTTTGAAGAAAGCCGATTAACTAAAAAGATGACACCTATTAAAGAAGAAAATTAATTATGAGAAATAGAACAATACAGGGAGGAAATGAAACCAACAAAAACGATGGAAAACCTTAAAACAAATTTCAACCTTTGGATAAATTTAATCCAACGAATATGATCAAAAAGGTGGTTACAACACTGGAAGGCTCCAATTAATGAAAATTTCCATCCTTCGTTTTTCTTTGGGTCAGATGGGTATCGAAGCTCTCCAGCAGCTTCGGATGAAACCATATCCAGACATGCTACAATTTGGATACAGGATACAGCAACAAATCAGAAAATCATGAACACAAAACATTATTTTCCCAAGCACTAAATATAAATTTTCCAAAAAACCACAATCTGTTCAATACTTGTAGGAAAAATATAAATTTCTCGTGACTAAATGAGTAGTGAAAGGGCCATAACATTTCCTGAACAATGTAAAGATCATAGTTCCTTTCCTATGGGCAGCTTTGTCTACAGTTTACATATGCCAATGAAAACTTCTCCTAGAAACATGCATCATAAAAATCAGTCCTTTAAATCTACCGTTGCAACAGCTGCATAGCAAACCTCAATATACCTATCCCCATGATTATGGACCCCCTCCCAACAAACCTATGATACTGCATTCTGTCAAGAGCCTGGACAACACAAACCAAATGATCCTCTGTTTAACTAACAAATAATAACTCTTCCAATAGAAAGCATCAGGAATTAAACATTCAATGTATTCTATTCCACGTTGGGGTGAGTGACAACTATTCAATTTTTTCCAACTTAAGTGTAGAATGTTAGGTACACCACAGACTGAGAAGGTTACTATATGTAACGAACTTGGATCTTTAATCTCAATGAAACAAAAATTATACTGGAAATGTGCCGCACTATCCATAGCAATTCAGGCTTACCTCCTCCTGAAACCTTTAGAGCATGAGACGCTTCTGTTCGAGATCCATAAACAAAAAACTTGTATTTTATTAAACAAAAAACTTAATAATATTTTTTTTTAACCAAACTAAATCCATAAACAAAAAACTTAATAATATTATTTTTATTGGTAGTGGTTTGAAGTTCTTGATGGATGGGAACCAACACAGTAACCTAAAAGATATGCAGCAAGTGAAGAAGGGTATTGGGAGCCTCCCTATATATTAAACTTTTCTTTTATTAAATTATTAATATGAATTTTGCAGAGAACATGAAAAAGATACCTGGATTGTATGATAAGAAAGATGGATGAATAGACTTACATCTATTGAACCTTTCTTGGCTTTGAAGTTCTTGAGGGTGAAGCCGTCGTCTATGGCGGCGGAGTGGTGGGTGGTGAAGTCTAGGTCTTTAGGTGAGTCAGTTGTGGTGTCGCCGACGGTTGAGTTGAAAGGGGTGGAAGATACACGAAAGCTCATGCGCGTTGGCTTGCACGAGTAGACGGCGTCCTTCCTCAACATTTTTCCGTACACCATAACCATCTTGAAGGCAGTGCCATAGCTCCCGGATAGCGTCAGCATGGCCGAGAAAAGCCGCTCTGGCACAGAGAGCAACTTCGGCACGAAGGTCTTTGTCATTCTTCAGACCACCGCTGCCGTTGAACTGAATAAGAGCCAAGGAGTACAGTGCCGGCACGTGAGACTTAATCGCTGCCTTCACCATTAACGACGCTCCACTTCCTCGATTTTGTAAACAACAAAATCGGATCTAGAAAAAACACCAAAAATATCTAATCAAACGAAAGAAAACTATCGATTTCTTTGATGAAAATCCCGTTAATCAAGTCGGTTTTCACAATACTAATTACGAATTAATTACTAATTACCATTCCGAGAGTATAATACGCCTCTTTGTTGCCGGCGTTGACGCACAATTTCAGAAACCGGTGAGCCTCATCCGACCAGTTTTTAGCTCCGACGGCAAGCGTTTCCGAACAAGCGTTCGACAAAACCAAAGGATGAACACCTAATTTATTCAACCTCTTACATCTATAAACATGAAATCAAAACATAAAACAGATGAGATTAGATTTTCTATAGTTCACAATGATGAAAATCAAAGAAAGCATCTAAAAACGGAGAAGAGATTTCGTATGCTTATGAAGAAACCAAAACGTACGTAAGAAGAACAGTGACGAAATCAGACGAAGAAGAAAAGGTAGAACTGAGGTTGCATAGGATGGAGATAACAATTTCATCAGGTGACGATTCAAACAGATCGGATCTTCTTCTTCTTCTTCCATGATGAACAACTTCTCCTTCGCATAGCTTCTTCGTCATGAAGGATTTGTAAAACCCACCTGCTCTTAGACTAAATGCAGAAATTCACAGCATCTAGAATGGTCGGCGACACCACAACTAACTCACCTAAAGACCTAGAAGGAATAGCATGCTGCCTTGGAGAAGGAACCGCATGCTGTCTGGGAGAAGGAACCGCATGCTGTCTGGGAGAATGAACCGCTGCCTTGGAGTACTCTATGCATAAGGATTTGTTTTTAAGATTTTATGCATAATTTTGTAGTACTCTATGCATAAGGATTTGTTTTTAAGACTTTATGCATTAAAAGGCGGTACCTTATGCATTTAAAGTTATTTTTAAGACTTTATGCATTAAAAAAGAGTACCTTATGCATTTAAAGTTGTATTTAAGACTTTTATAAAATCTCCTTTATAATGTAGTATAGATATTTTTGTAAACTGGTCTTTTAACTTTGAACTGCAGTTGATCCTATTTTTCATACAAACTGAGAAGATGAGTTCAAAAGAATCAATGGCTATTGGTACTGATACCAAGCCACCAGTTCTTTTTCTTGGTGACTATAATCAATGGAGAGACAGATTTCTGAACTTCATTGAATGGATGAAAGAAGGAGATATGATCATGCAATTTCTATTGGACGGTCCTGCTGAATTCTTTGTAGAAGTACCTGCTGACAATATAGTAGGCGTACATGCATATAAATTACCTAAACCGAAACATCAATATTCACCCGAAGATAAAGAAAGAGCTCATGCTGATGTGCTTTGCAAATCTTATATGATGCAAGCATTGACTAATGATATCTACACGAGCATTGACAGCTATAAATCATCAGGTCACAACATGTGGGTTCAAATAGAGAAGATGATGATGGGTTCGAAAGTCGGAACTCAGCTGAAAATTACAAATTGCATTTCAGCATATGAAGCGTTCAAGGCTAAAGAAGGAGAAAGCCTTGATGATATCTATAACAGACTTGCCAGACTGCTAAACGAGTTGACAAAGAACGGAATTTCCAAAACTACTATAGAGATAAATGTTAAGTTTCTTAACAATCTCCAATCAGAGTGGAAATCATTTGCTAATCATATCAGATTTAACAAGCAGTTATCTGATATTGATATTCATGAAATATATGAAACTCTGAAAAAAATGAGCAGGATGTTTTGGAGATCCGTAATGCAAAGAAGAAAGAGAAAGAAGTTGATGATCCTTTGGCTCTCGTATCTGAGAGAAAGGAGAAGAGATACAAAAGCAGATCTGGAAAGAAAGTCAAAGAAGTTAGTCAATCAAGTGAATCTGAGTCAGAAGACAGTAATAGCTCAGAATCTGATTCTGAAATGTCAGAGATCAAGCAAGCAATGGCAATGCTGACCAAAGCATTCCAGAAAAAATTCTCCAAAAGGCCACACTCGAACAATCAGAGATTCTCGTCAGGCTCAAAGTATGACTACAAAGACAAGTTTGGCGAGAAGAAGAAATATGAAGAAAAGATATTCGAGAAGAAATATGAGACAAAGCCGGAAGAAGGGAAGAAATTTAGCAAATGTGTAGCTGATGAGAACACCAAATGCTATAACTGTGGTAAGCTAGGCCACTTTGCTATTAACTATAAGAAGCCGGTAAATCGTAATACCGACTACTACAAGAATAAGTTTCTTCTATCCAAACAAAGAGATGTTGGCAAAGCTCTTATGGCTGAGGATGAACATTGGCTGAACCTGAGAGATGAAGAAGAAGAAGCTGAAGCTGTTGCACATGTGTGCTTGATGGCTAAATCAGACAATGATTTACCTGGAGAAGATTCACAGATGAATGATGAGGTAATTCATCAAACATGCATTAAACAGATGAATAAGATGATACTCCAAATTCAAACTTTCCAGCAAGAGTTAAAATCAGAAAAATTGCGTTCAAATAATTTTGAAGAACAATTAAAAACGCTAAAAGAAATATATACTAAAGTATATATTGAAAATGCTGGAAACTTGAATTGGGCTAAGTTTTTGCAATCTGAGTCCAAAATATCTAAAGAAAAATCCAATGCTTTAAATTCTGAGTTATCTGAATTAAAGGAAAAATATAAATCATTAGCTTTAGTTAATGACGAACAAATTGTCAAAATAAGTAAGCTTGATTTAAAAATAATTCAGTTAAATAAAACTCTGAAGGAAAAAGAAGAAATTTTATACAAACGTGAACAAACTGATCAACATCTTTCTAAACAAACCATCTGAAGCAAGATTTTTTAACTCTCGGGAAGGGTTGGGGTTTGAAAATCGAAATTTTTAGAAAAAACTTTAAAATCTGCCCCGACCTTATATGATTCTCAATATATTTTCTGCGGTCCCGATTATTCTGTAAAGTTTACAAAATATTCTGACGAGGTTGAACAAAAAGAAGACCTTAATCGTCAAAGCAAAGACAAAATGCAAGTTCCGTTTAATTATTCAAAATTAAATGAAAGTTACAAAGATCAAGACTCTGTAGTTTCAACAGATTTTATACATAGTTATTCAAAAGCAGAGCTTCAAGCAAAACCGGTTGAGCCTAAACTTTATATTCCTACTCTTATTTTAGAAAAACAAGTGGCTCAACTGGAAAAGACTTTAAAGGAAGAAAGGCTTTCATTTGATAACCAAAAACAAGAATTTTTTAAATAAAATTGAATCTTTAGAAAATTCTATCAAGAAAACGGAACAAGCTGAGTCTGAGTATTTCTCGTGCGACAAATCTTTATGTGAAGCTAATGACTCAGAAGAAATAAACGCATTTAATGAAGAAATTAATTTTTCAAATATTTTAAATTCAGATGTCTGTTCTGATGATGACGTTGATAAGTTTAATTTTACAAATGATTTACCCAGTCATGAATAATTTATTGTTAAAACCAATATGACTGAGGATTYTGATTTACCTTCAGATTTTCAAAATAATTTTGATCACAAACCTGTTTCCGAGGATGTTTATTATAAAAAGATTAAAACCAAAAAGAAACAAAGGAAATAGAAGAAAAAGCTTACAAAGAAAAAGAAAGTTCVAAATTCAAGTAAATCTAATAATTTTCTTTTTTCTTTTTCAGATAATTCGTCGAAGTTTAAACCGTATTGGAGAGTAAAAGAAAACGACAAATCATCTGCTCAACTGAAGAAAAATAATTTTAYTAGTTCTGTATTAAATGATTCTAAATTGAATAGTTCTATAAAAAGATATTCAATTGATGAATTATTTGCTATTAGAAAAAGTAAAAATAATTGTTCTCCGAGTAGA